AATTAAAATGTACACATTTTTATAATATGGTTTTTTAGCTTCAAGGGATCAAATGGATTAAAACTAAATATGGCAAAACTTTAAAAGTGACTCGACTAAATAATAAAAAATGCATCAATGATATTGAAAACAGTATTAGAGATGGGGGCGTTCTCTTGATCGAGAATATGGGTGAAAATGTTGACCCCGTTCTAGATAATGTTATTGGTCGTAATTTAATTAAAAAAGGAAGGTAAAAATAAAAAAGTAATTGCCTATAGAAATTTATATAGGTAATCATTTTATAATTTCAATTTTAGGGTTTTAAAAATTGGTGAAAAAGAGATTGACTACAATCCTAATTTCCGTCTTATATTGCACACGAAACTGTCAAATCCACATTACAAACCAGAAATGCAAGCACAAACTACTCTAATCAATTTCTCAGTCAACCGTAATCAACTTGAAGATCAGTTATTGGCGGAAGTAGTGAAAATCGAACGCCCCGATTTAGAAAGAATGAGAATTGAATTGACAAAACAACAAAATAGCTTTAAAATAATATTGAAACAACTTGAAGATGACTTACTACAGAGATTGTCTTCAGCCGGTAGTGAAATACTCGGTGACAAAGAACTTGTTCTGAATCTCGAAAAGTCAAAAAGAACGGCTACGGAAATCGAAATAAAAGTCGCAGAGTCAAAAATAACGTCAAAAGAAATTGATAGCGCCCGAGAAGAGTATCGTATTGCTGCAACAAGAGCATCAATAATTTTCTTTATAATGAACGATTTGATCAAAATAAGTCCAATGTATCAATTTTCTCTAGGGGTAATGTATCAAAAAAATTAATCACTTATTTATAGTTATTAGTGTTATTGCTAATTAATAATATTTATTTATTTATTCAATTAATTGTTCATCAAGTTATTAATTATATACATTTGAATTTTATTTTTCAAATAATTGTTTTAACTGAGTACTTTATTATTAAGTGGTAGATTTACAGGAGAAAGGAGGGTTCTAGAGGGTCTAGACCCAGCCCCCAAATACCGATAAAATGTCATCTAAAAAAGAAGTATTTAATTATGTAACGTATCCCACCGTGTTCGACGGATTTTTCTTGAGCTGTTAATATTCAATTTTTTTCTGTCGATTCTTCATAATATTTTTCAGAACCCCCCCCCCCCCCCAGAAAAATGTTTAAAAACCACCACTATTTAAATTATAATAATTTTATTATTAATTATTTCCATGTATGATTTTTAAGGCTTTTAGTGTTGTATTCCAACGCTCCATGAGAAATGCAGATAAATCCGACACTTTAAAAGGACGAATTATTAATTTAATAGACAATATAACTTATCAAACGTTTATATATACAAGTCGAGGTTTATTCGAAAAGGATAAACTAATATTTATTGTTCAAATGACTATTCAGGTACGATTTATAATGTATCTATAAGTATTAATTTTACTTTAATTTGTATAATGTTATTTTATTTTATTAATTTATGATATATTCAGATACAAATCCAAGCAAAACAAATAAATCCAGCTGATTTAGATTATTTATTGAGACGGCCATCAATTATTGGGACTCAGGCTCCGTTTGATTTTATTTCATCAGATGCTTGGGGAGCTATAAAGACACTTGTTTCGGTTGATGATGAATACACGTAAAACAATAATTTTTTTATATATATACCTACACATGCTTAAGAGTAATTTAATAATAAGTATACCTATAAATGTTTTTGAAGTGGATTAGATAAGGACATAGAGTCGTTTCATAAACGTTGGCAAATATATATTGATAGCGAAGCTCCAGAAAAAGAAATAATGCCACAAGGGTGGAAAAATAAAACTTCATTCCAAAGACTTTGTGTAATTAGAGCTTTAAGAACTGACCGAATGACTTATGCTGCAAAAGTTTACGTCCAGGAAGTTCTTGGAGCTAAATATACTAACTTTAGGCCACCAGAATTTTCTGAATCGTTCAAAGAAACTTCTTCAAAAACTCCTATATTTTTCATATTGTCAACTGGAGTCGATCCAACACGTGTAAGTATTAATTATTTATCTAACAAAATACATTTTAAGTCTTGAATAAAAATAATAATTTGTTTAAAAACTAACAATGTTTGTTATTAATATGTCTAATATACTAATTAGGGATGGGCATGAAATCTGAACATCCGCATTATTCGAATATCTTGATATTCGAATCCGGGTTTAAATCAAATTCTTATCCGGATTTTTTGAATTATCCGGATATTAAGTTTTACTTTAGTTATCTGACTATATTTCTAACAATTATAAGATTGCCTGTTATAAAACGAATTCAGTGCATTATGTAATCTACTATATATAAGATTTATAATGTAATAATAAATTGTTCTCTTATATTTATCAAATAAAAATTATCGTCAAATATCGAAAATAATCAAGTGATACTTTATAAAGTTATAACTAACAAAATGTGTCGGATAATCTACGAAATTCAAATTTCTTAAATTCGGATATGCCCATCACTAATACTAATACTTATATTACTTATTTGCCTTTTTCCTTTTTTCCCCCATTAATAAGTTATCCTTAATTATTTTTTAGGAAGTTGAAGCTCTTGGAATCAAAAAAGGATTTACAATCGAAAAAAAAACTTTCCATAACATATCATTGGGACAAGGACAAGAACCGGTGGCTGAAGAAGCAATAGAGTTAAGTTCTCGATTGGGTAATTGGGTCATGTTACAAGTAAATATGAAATTATACGATATCTCGCTGACTGGTGCATTATTTTTAACAAATTGTGTTTTAAAAGAACGTGCATTTAGTTAAAAATTGGCTGCCAATATTGGATAAAAAAATGGAAGTATCTTTTGAACATCCACATGATAACTACAGAATATTCATTAGTGCTGAACCGGCTGCTGACCCAGCATATCATATTATACCCCAAGTATTTCTTTTTAATCATATAATGTGTTTGTATTGGGTATTTTAAATATTACTAATTTTAGGGTGTTTTGGATTCTTCAATAAAAATTACAAACGAACCGCCAACCGGAATGATGGCAAATTTGCATAAAGCTTTAGATAACTTTAACCAAGATACACTGGAAATGTGTTCAAAAGAAGCGGAATTCAAAACAATTTTATTCAGCTTGTGTTATTTCCACGCTTCCATACAGGAAAGATCGAAGTTTGGCGCTCAAGGATGGAACAGATCGTATCCATTCAATGTAGGTGATCTAACGATTTCCGTGAACGTTTTATACAACTATCTAGAAGCAAACAATAAAGTTCCATGGGAAGATCTCAGATATCTGTTTGGAGAGATCATGTACGGTGGACACATTACTGATGATTGGGATAGAAAACTATGTAGAACATACCTGGAAGTCTATATGAATCCAGATCTGGTATTATATTTATTTGGAATTACAATTTAATGAAATATAATTGCATTTGATTTAATTTTCATTCAACTAAATTATAGATGGAAGGAGAACTTTCATTTTCTCCTGGATTTTTAGTCCCTCCGAATATAGACTATAGGTCGTATCACCAATATATAGACAATTTATTACCTCCTGAAAGTCCATCATTATACGGACTTCATCCAAACGCTGAGATCGGTACACTCACTACGAGGTCTCAAAACTTATTCCAAACTCTAATGGAAATGCAGCCTAGAGACGCAGGTGCATCAAGTGGAGGAGGAGTATCTAGGGATGAAAAAGTAAATTAAACACTATTCGTGTATGAAATCGCAATGCTTTTGATTCATTATTTAATATCAATGGATATTGTGTGATATATTTTCTGCAGGTAAGCACAGCTTTGAGTGAAATCCTTGATAATTTACCAGATCCGTTTAACCTACAAGATATGATGTCTAAAGCTGAATCTTTGACTCCATACGTCATTGTGTCATTCCAAGAGTGTGAGCGAATGAACACGTTAATGAATGAAATCAGACGATCTTTAAAAGAATTATTCTTAGGGCTAAAGGTAATTTATATAAATAGCGCAGAATATATTTTAAACTATTCTTAATAATTGAATACAGTATGTATGTTTCTTGAAATAGATTAATTACATCATTATTTCGTAAACTATAGGGTGAACTTACGATAACAGCAGGTATGGAGGCATTAGAAGAATGTTTATTTATGGACAAAGTACCGCCAAGCTGGGAGAAACGTGCTTACCCGTCGTTATTGCCTTTAGGCGCCTGGCATGTAGATTTAATGAAGCGATTGCAATGTTTAGAGTCTTGGGTTGAGGAGTTCAAAGTAATCTATATTATACTTAATTTGTTATAATGACAATTTTAATACAAATTATTTGTATTAATATGGACATAATAATGAATTGTATTGATTTAGCTTCCATCGTCCGTTTGGTTAGGAGGATTTTTTAATCCGCAATCGTTTTTAACTGCAATAATGCAGAGCACAGCGCGAAAAATGGAATGGCCACTAGACAAGATGTGTCTGCAATGTGACGTGACAAAAAAATTTAAACAAGAAATCACGTGAGTGGAATAATAATAATAATATGAAAAATTTTAAAAACTTATTAGGTATGGTTTAAAATAATTAAAGAATTCCTGCATGGTTTTTTTTTTTTTTTTAGAGCTGCACCTAGAGAAGGTGCGATGATTTCTGGACTCATTCTTGAAGGCGCTCGTTGGGACATGAATATAGGTNCGAAAAATGGAATGGCCACTAGACAAGATGTGTCTGCAATGTGACGTGACAAAAAAATTTAAACAAGATATCACGTGAGTGGAATAATAATAATATGAAAAATATTAAAAACTTATTAGGTATGGTTTAAAATAATTAAAGAATTCCTGCATGGTTTTTTTTAGAGCTGCACCTAGAGAAGGTGCGATGATTTCTGGACTCATTCTTGAAGGCGCTCGTTGGGACATGAATATAGGTTGTATTGTTGATTCGATCATGAAAGATTTATTCCCGGAAATGCCAGTCATACATGTAAAAGCTATTATCAAGGACAAACAGGACACGAGGAATGTATACGAATGTCCAGTATACAAGATAAAACAAAGAGGTCCAACTTACGTGTGGACGTTTAATCTAAAAACGCGACAAGCCGCTTCGAAATGGGTGCTAGCTGGTGTAGCAATATTACTCAGCGTCTAGTGTTAAAAATTATGTAATAAAAACACCAATAAAATTCAACACAAATAAAAACGTATTTTACATTATCCCCCCTCAATCGGATTTTGGAGTTTAAAATACTACCACAAATTTGTTTTGATTATTTTTAGTATTTGTTTGGCCTTCCTACGATCTATTTGAAGTTGTCACTCCAAACATAGCATAACTTTACGAAGCCACTCTAACAAACCATACTCGAAGTTGTTAGACATTATTAGACAATTATTCGAATTTGATAGTAAAAGTTATAAAACTTCAAAGATTTGTAGTCATGTCCAGCACTACATATGAAACAAAAATGTAAAAAAGTAGCAAACAATATCTATAAGACTATGCTCGGTATTGTTATACAAGTTTTAGAATTTTGTTTGATAAAAGTTTCAGAAATATATAAATATATATTGTTGAAAATGCATCACTATCAACTGAACTCCGCTCAGAATCGGTTTCTCGTAAGCAATGGCAGTGGCGTCATTTTAGTTTTTGAGAGGACGGGGCAACATATTTGACCGGCCCACAATAAAATTGTGAGACAACAACGACTGAATAATAAATATAAATGTAGAGGTAGGATACCTAAACACATTACCCATTAGCTACTATATTATGGGAATTTAATTTGAAGTGAATTTTACCCCGATTTATGTTCTATTGCGCCAATATGTACGGAGTATACATGTATTTGCAAAATGTATAGCTGTGTCACCGTGGACATCAGTGTAATCATAGAATAAATTAAATACAAATAGACACTCTTCAAAAATACGGACTCTTATTAGAACCCGGTGATTTCAGTTAAAGTGTAATCAATGTTAATGATTAGTACTATACAAAAAAATATTTTATACAACTATCACAGTTATCACTATTGTTATTGCAAATACCTAAACCTTAAAACACAGTAGCTCAGAATGGCCGTATGCAATATATGTAAATCATGAATTATGTTTAAAGGCTCGTGGCCCAAAACTAACCTATACCCGGCACAATAGATGAAAACGGAGGGGGGGGGGTAAATTCCTTCCCTGTCCCTCCCAAATGACGTCACTGAGCGACGGTTTATCGTTGCTTACAGGTATACATTAAATTACCGATGACAGTGGCTGCACCCGTCCCCATTATCCTGATACGTCTTTTCTAAATTTATAATTAAATGAAAATAATTCCGTTTTTAAAATATTTGTTTGAATATTAATGGAAGGTTTTTTTTTTGTTGTGATTAAATCTACAGCGTACAGTTGTTTGTGTCTTACTACAAAAGCTTTTACAAATTACATACAATCGTCATATTATAAACGTTTATCGTCCAATATTCTTTCTATACAGTGACGTTGAAGTTTTATTTCGTATTTAATTTTTTAGTTTTTGGTCATTAGAGCATTTATTTTTTTTTTTTTCTGTACCTTTTTAGATCATCAACATGTTATCTCTATATATTTAAATGCTATCATCCAGATACCAGGTGGGCTGCCGGGTCGCCGTCGCGTTCCATCACACTGACGGTAGGGTTCGGGTGGGTAGTGCGCCACAGCGTAGTAGGGCAGAGATTATTGATTCGGCCAAGTCCAACTGCGGCGCTTCGGTTGCGCATGTTTACGGATCAATAGGTCATGGCGAACAGCGCTCTCTCGTCAGTTAACCGGAACTACAAACATGTCCCGTCTACGGTTCGTATCCTCTTATCGTATCTTTCATTGTGCCATTGTGGTGGTTCGTATAAACAAATGAAATAATTTAATTACAGTCTAATTTTACCGTCTTGTTGTTTTATACCGTCGTGCGTTTGATGGTTTCTATTTGAGCCACACGTTTTCACGTAGGTACCGATTTCGAGATTCGGCTGCCATGGCTAGTAGTAATAATAATAATAACAATAATTTGAATAACGTGAACGGCGTTATAACGCCCCCATCAACGCCTTCACCGAACCCATTGCAAATGAATATGGCTCGAGAAAGAGAAAAATACTTGGAAGAGTATAATTTTCCCTTTTGCGAGGCCGCAACAAAGTATGAAAAATTGGCGAAAATCGGTCAAGGAACATTCGGGTATATTAATTCATTAATTCATTACTACCTTTTATACTATTGTTCCCAAGTGGCAAGTTTAAAATTGAGAAATCATCAAAGTCACCAAATGGTCATAATATTTTATTTTAAACGCCCTTTCAATGTAAATTAGAAATAATTTTTGAAAATTAAATTAATATCCGTGTACCTACGTTTTTTGTGTTAGCCGTACATTTTTCCATAACCAGTATCAGTCCATTTAACCGAAGTATTATAGTATCTACCTACCAATGAAAAATATTTGCCACATATCATATCTAATGTTTCACATTGTCACAAATACTTGGCTAAACTATGATAGACACTTATTTTAATACTACTAATTACCTTTGGTTACCTACTATTGTTAAAAGAGAAACATACTTGTAGGTAAAATAGATATGAAAATCAATGGGGCGGTACCTATTTTCAGGTGACATCAACAAATTGGTGTTTTATTTGTTATCTACAAATGTGTTGGTTTTGTAAATTGTAATTTATGTACAACAGTCATAAAAATCAATAATAATAGTATTTTAGATAAAGATTAGAAATTTCATAAGATTTACCTGTCAAATAATTTCTGTAGTATTGTTGATTAATGTTATAATAGTTATCAACTATACAAAATGTGTATTATATGATCTCATTAGGTATACTTAACTATTACTTATTAATTATAAGTAAAACAATAATATAATACTTTTTTAATTTGTAGGTACATACAAAAATCTTGGTAGGTAATCTACTACCACCAACTGTTTTCTATTTTCCTATTTTGTATAATATATACCTAAGTAGAATATAATGTTTTATAAAATAGTCCTATAGCCTAGCGCTGAAGTAAAATTAAGAACCAAATTTTTACTTCATGCTATTATAAACAATATTTTTTTAAAGTAATACCTAATCTATATATATTAGTGTTGAACAATTATTTTTAGATCAAATATTGAAATTTTAATGAAATGTACGTAAAATTCTAAATAATCTGTGGAGTAGTTTAGTTTATCTAATTATATTCAATACCTGATTCAATATTTCAAATTATTTAGATACATTTTTGATAAAATACATTTAAGGGTATACCTAACTTATAAGGAATAAATCTATTAACATTCGATTAGTACATTTTTAATTTACATTACATTTAATTACTATTTTTATTCAGCTAATTAAGCGTTTAAATTTTAACTTTGATTTTTCAGCGAAGTGTTCAAAGCTCGAGACAAAAAAAATCTTAAACGGATGGTTGCTATGAAGAAAATTCTTATGGAAAATGAAAAAGAAGGAGTAAGGCAATATTTATTCATATTCAATTTATGTACCATAATTTATATATTCATTAGAGTAATCATTCGGAATTAGGTATCTAATATAATGCAGTTGTAATCTATGATGATCAGAATCTAAAATTGATAATTATAGGTACCAAAAATTTAAATTGCTGATATGAGCAAACATTTAAACAGTCAATAGTTTTAACACTAAAACAATAACCAGCAAACTATTTACTTTCAGTACCTTATATTTCAGTGACGTATTTACACGGATGATCATGGTGATAGATCTGCTCACATGCATGTTTTTTATTTAGCAACGATATCAATGTATCGTGACATCGAAATAGAAATTAATAAAGTTATTTACAAACTTACATTGAGTACAAGGACATTAGACTGTATAATAATGAAATAATTATTTAATAATAAAAATAAAACGTAATGGTTATATTTTAATATTTGCACTAAAATATTGTTCAGATTTGAAAAAAAAAAAATTCATGAAAAGTGAAGTGTTTAATTGTAAGTCGCTAGGTCTGTAAACTGAAATTTTCATCATCCTCCCCCCCCCTCCCCGCCCATAGAAAAATATCCTAAATATGTCACTGCCCTCTTTAATTTTTAATGTAAATAATAACTAATTAAGTATACAGTTATTATTATAATATTTCATATTTGTTTGTATTGCTTATTAATTTTTCAATTTCAGTTTCCAATAACTGCTCTGCGAGAAATAAGAATATTACAACTATTAAAACATGATAATGTTGTAAATCTATTGGAAATCTGTCAAACTAGAGGTAAACATTTTGGTTTATTAATTGTTTATTTATTTATGATATTAATACATTGTAAATATTTTATAGCTAATCAGTTTAATCGTTATCGTTCGACATTTTATTTGGTATTTGAATTCTGTGAACATGATCTAGCAGGTTTACTGTCTAACACTAAAGTGAAATTCAGTCTAGGAGAGATAAAACAAGTTATTCAACAAATGCTTAATGGTCTATACTACATACACAGTAATAAGGTGCTTATAATAATTACATTTCTAAAATATTTAAAATCAATGACAATTTTTTTCTGTGATGTTATCAGATATTGCATCGTGACATGAAAGCGGCAAATGTACTAATCACAAAACTTGGAACTTTGAAATTGGCAGATTTTGGTTTAGCTCGAGCATTCAGTGCACAGAAAAATGGACAACCAAATAGGTAAAATTACCTTTTTAATAACACTTTTATTTACATATTTATATTAAAGAGTAATATTGTATACAACTGTTTATGCTTATATGATTATTTTATTTTCCTATACAATTGTATATCAACAATAAATTTAATTTGTATGATATGATACATTTTTAATTTGATCTGATTGACAGAAAAGTTAACATTTTGCATAAATTAGAATAGCTTATACAAATTTAAAATAATTATTGTTGGATTTAAAACATAACTTGATGTAAATAATATAAATTATTTATAATAATTAAAAATATACATTATTTTTTGTATTAATAAAACCTTTATGTTTAGATATACTAATCGCGTAGTAACATTGTGGTATCGCCCTCCAGAATTACTTCTTGGTGATCGTAACTATGGACCGCCTGTAGACTTGTGGGGAGCTGGCTGCATAATGGCTGAAATGTGGACTCGTAGTCCAATTATGCAAGGAAATTCAGAACAACAACAATTGACATTGATATCTCAACTATGTGGTTCAATTACGCCGGATGTATGGCCCAAAGTAGAATCATTGGACCTATACAACCAATTAGAATTAGTCAAAGGACAAAAGCGAAAGGTTTATATTTTTTTTAAATTAAATTTGTTTTATTGACTTAACTAAATATTGAAAAATAGGTGAAGGAACGGCTTAAGCCTTATGTACGTGATCCGATGGGTTGTGATTTAATTGACAAGTTACTTGTATTGGACCCAGCCAAAAGATTTGATGCTGACTCAGCTTTGAACCATGACTTTTTCTGGACAGATCCCATGCCATGTGATCTGTCTAGAATGTTGTCACAACAAACACAAAGTAATTTTGAATATTTGGCTCCTCGCCGGCTTAATAACCACCAATCGTCCTCCATGCGACCAACCTCATCCACTTCTAGTCAAAGTTCTTCTACTTCTACTACATCAGGCTTTCACGAGCGTGTTTTCTAGCGTAAGTGAATGGCAGCTAATGTATGCGGCCATTTATAACTAATGTTACTAATGTTAAAGTAACTTTTTTTATTTTTTTAATAGTTTTCTTAATTTATTTTAGAGAAAATTTGATTATTTAAATATGATCTGCATAGTGTGTAATATTATCTGTTACTATTATTATTATTGATTAGTATCTCTGCTCTATTATTATTATTTGTGAACATAGTTCGAAATATAAAAAAGTATTAATTTTTAAACTATTTATTATATTTTTACTATTAGTTAATAAACTATTAATAGTATTTTATTTTAAATTTATATTAGACTTTCCATATTTGTAGAATAAAATCTGTTTTATTTCATTAATATTGTATGTTGTATAATATGAATATTATTAAATATTCAAGTAATATTTAAGTACAATGTTATACAGATATATAGATTTTAAAAGATATACAAATTATTGTTTTACTTAGTTACTATCATGTATGTTATAAACAATCATAACTTCAAGTTTCAGAAAACATTGTGTCAGATATCTTTTCTAAAATATAAGTAATCTAGTATTAGATTGATTAAATATTAAATTATCATTGTACATTTAATTTATATTTATAAATATCATATTACATATTAATTTTATTCTATCTTACATATTTTTAAGATAATTAAGATAAATTTTTAATATTAATAATAAGTTCACATTTTTTTTAAGCTATTAAATTAAAATTTATTATACTCAGAACTCTAGTCAATAAAATGTATTAGAAGCCATATTTATATAATCATAAATATTAGTATGATTGCATTTTTGAAGTTTTGATATTAATTAAATGTTAATTCTTCATTGACATAATATTATATATTATTTATCATTATATTAATACATATAAATCTAAGTTTAAGAAAAAGTAAATGCATAAAAGTTGTGTGTTTAAGAGTTTTTTAGTCTTATTAGATTTAAATTATTTATACTCAGTACTCTAGTCACTAAAATGTATTAGAAGCCATATTTATATAATCATAAATATTAGTATGATTGCATTTTTAAAGCTTTGATATTAATTAAATGTTTATTCTTTATTGACATAATATTACATATTATTTATCATTGTATTAATACAATTAAATCTAAGTTTAAGAAAAAGTAAATACATAAAAGTTTTGTATTTAAGATTTTACTAATTATACTCAGCATTCTAGTCTAGAAAGTGTATCAGAAGCCATATCCACCATATTCATATTATAAATATTAGTATGTAATGAATTTTTGAAATGTTGATATTAATTAAATGTAATTTCTTTATTGACATAATCATACATATTTAACAATGTATACTATCTTAAATTTATTTGTTTTTGCATTGATAATAAAAAGTAATAATACATATTCTAGCAGAATGTATTGTTGTTTTTATAAAAATTAAAATTAACATATAAAAGTCATTGTTTCTGACAAGTTTTTGGCAAGTTCATTGCTTATTAGTTATTATACTCAGTATTCTAGTCTAGAAAATGTATTAGAAGTAGTTTAGAATATTTCAATATTTATTTCAGACCAACATTGGGAGGGCCCTCTCCCACGAAGAAAAAGAAAAAATATTGATTTACAAATCAAAAATTTGTACTTAGAAAACATGTTCTAGAATATCATCATGTTCGGGCGTTGTAGTCACAGTCAATTGCATATTTATTGTAGGAGCTCCACATAGCTTCAGCCCCTTCCCCCCCCCCAATTTTCAGGATTTTTTAAAAAAATTTCCTAAGTATGCACTATGCCCTATAATAATTTTCAAATTTTAGAAGTTAAGTATTATTGTATTAATAATTATTATTTTCAAGTTTTTAGATTCTGAGTGGGGCAAAGAAGCTTCTGGTTTTACAAAGATGTTCATTTTTTTTTTTTTTCTGTGGACAACTTTTCTACCAGAGATCCTGCTCAAATTTGTATATATAGCACCTTTTCTGAAAGGAAATCGGTGTGGTGAGTTATTATAGAAAAGTAATTTTTCGATTTTCTTAAGAGTTTTTTTAACAGATGTGAAAAAAAGGGAAAATTGGTACAACATTAAACAAATATTACTAAAGAAAATATCTAAAGCCTATTTAATTATTTTACTATAATATGACATATTTATTGTTGAAGTGGGAATACTTTTGATTACAAATGTACAACAATCTCTAAAATATATTTATTTGTGAGTCATCAATATTTTGATTATATTTATGGGCCCTTAAAATTTTTTGGCCCCAAGCCCAAAATCGTCTTAATCCGGATTTGCCAACAGTTTCGATAGTCAATAATTTTTGGTAACAACCGAGTAAATTGATAGTTTTCACTCGGTTATGCCCATCACTAGTTCCAATGATTAAACTATGATTATTTGATGACATATTATAACGGACTTCCACCCAAACTCATCGTCGTGCAGTCATGTGGGTGCCAAGTACAATTACATCACTTCGCCCAAGTATATATTAAATATCACTAATAATTTATAACGTAGAAAATTTATGTATATCATATACCAATGTTTTGATACTGGTATTCTTTGACCTATAAATAGATTTTCCCTCATTATTATTTAGACCCTTGGTCTTTTTGAGCTCAAGCCCTATTCATTTGAGGACCCTATTTGCGTCAATAGTATTGTTCTATCCAGGTGCTCACTACTTACATCGAATGTTTCCCAAGATGAACCGGAAAATATAAACATGAAATTAAAATTACCTAATTTGATATCTAAATTGTTAACTTATTCAAAATTAAAAGAGTTTATTTTGTAAATCCTGTGTACCTACCATTTTTTATTTGCAAATTTAAGTCAGGTGTTTGAATAATATACAAATAGCTAATTTACCTGAGCTAAATGACATTATATTTAGAAGTAGAGTTTGAGTTTGTTTTATTATTATTTTGTGTCTTAATTAAATTATATGCTTGCTTCCCAATTTTTCTTTTTAATAAAATTGGGAAATTTTACTGGGAGAAAATACGCTCTCGATTTCTGTGCTTGACAGTATATTATATTATATATGTAGGATTAAAGCATAAAAAGAGCTGATGAGTGCGATACTGTTTTAGGTGGTAAGTTGGGAAGGTAAGATACATCTAAAGGTAATTAATTTTTATTTATAAGCAACTATAAACCATTGCTATACGCCTATACCTATTAAAAATTCTAAAAAATTTAAAAATAAATGAAGTTTTAGTTCGGGGAGAGTAGTCATGCAAACGATGCTCTACTACGCCCCTACACAAAATTTAAGTGTAATATTTCGTCAACGGACTGACGAAAATTAAAAATAACAACACCAAAATGTATTTAAATTAAAATATATATTTATGAATTTTTTAATATAGATCGCTTTTTTGAAATCAATAGTACGTAACAATGTCGCCCCTTTCTTCCCACCGAAAAAAAAAAAGGTGAAAAATATTAACCATAACATTTTAGAGTTACATGTTTCATAAATTTTCTAAAAAAAAAAAAAATTCATACTTTCCGCGAGATGATGAGTACCTTGTTAAAGATCTATATCGCCCTGTATATACATTATACGTGTACGTATAATGAATAATATAGGTAATTATAATATACACATAACTTACAATAATTTCTGTTCATCTCAGTTTTACCGCTGTTCGCGATGTGCGACTTACGGTGTGTGGGTGTAATACAGGTATAAATACATATTAATTAATTAATGCGTCGCCTGGAGTGTTAAGAAATGTATATTTAACCTATTAATTCATCGATTTTATTTTGTACACACAATTTCTTTGGTTTAACCTTTCTACCTCCTTACATTATACCGATGTCGGCCAACCATATTTTTATATAGGTATTATACGCGGCTGCTATTATAGGTACGAACCACATGAACGTTGATTATTACCTTTTATAGACAATGCCTACAAAACTATATGTAATTGTATTACTTATGGTTTTTAAGAGGACAACGCACTAGAAAACGGGACAGTGGTCTCTGTCGTCAGACGCAACCGTGTTTAATACAGACGAATCGGTTTTTATGCACATCGAACTTTATATAATATTTCTTTGGTCTCGGGGGAAAAAGTGCTGAAGACAATTTTCAGCTTTTTACACAATAATCACTGAAAATTGGTTTTCGGACACTCAATAATAGAGTATGGTTTTGTTTTCTGTATGCCCCCTAGAAAATAAACGGTAAATGAATGAATTAGTCGTGTCTGTTGTAAAATGTTATATTTTACGTAAGAAATATTGTCACTATAGTGACAATAATATACTCTGTAGAGCATACACATATACCATATCAATACTGTAGAGTATTATGCTCAATAGAAGGGATCATTAGGCATTTGCAACCGATGCGTCGGACTATTGGGCGTAGAACTACTTACCTAATGCTCTGAATTAAGTATGGATTTGAAGTTATTCCGAGCTAACCAACAACAAACGATTTTATATAACGGTGAAGACCCGAGTCCCATACAGAGAATGTGAAGTGTAGTCTTCTTTCTGCACACTAACACCTGTACAGGTAGGATTTTTCTTGTTTTTTTTTTTTTTTTCATTTTAGTTCATTCTCGTACTCGGAGGAATTTTTTATTTCTTTTTTTTTTAAATTTTACTTTGTATTATTTTTATTTTTTTTTTTTTTTAATGTTCTCATAAAAGTGCTGTCGATTACGCACATGTATTTCGCATTTCGCGTCATGAATATTAAACAAATAGTAATAGTATCTAGATAGGTAGATTATTTTAGTGCTGTACCATAATCATTAATACTATTCAGTATTCATTATGTATTATTATTATATAACTGAATTACCCGGTATTTTCCTGGCTTAGTCCTTTCAAAAACAGAAATCAATAAAAGAAATTGAATTTAACGTGTCTCCCCTCGTTTCTACCCTTGTTCATAACACAGTCAATCGTTATTACACAGTAATTTATCTTTTAAAAAGGGTACTTCCTGGGACAAGCAAATTAAATAATAATCTGTTTTTTCATCCGTGTTGCCAAGGTAAATCATAAATCAACAAAAAAAAAAAAATTAATTAATTTCGTTCCAATAGTACCAAAACTCCTGTGTCTAACTCCTAAAGGATGTCTGATAGGGGTTAGATTTCGAGATGAAAATTATACTGCGATTTTCCCCTCTGTTTAAATGTCCGGTGTGCAGAGATTCGTCAATATTGGAATACTGTAAATTTGTACAGCGGGCAGACATACAGACAGAATTTTAATTTAATATACAGGGGGGGAGGTTTATCACGAACTAGCAATGCGTGATTGCGGTCCACTCTACTCATCCAGTCTAAACTTTAAACGGTTATAACTCATAAACGGTAAATCTGATATTGGTGTTATATATATCGAAATTTCTAGAAAAATATTTTCCACTCAAATCTGTGTTCAAAAGGATGGTTCCTATTTGAAAAACAAAAGCATATTTTTATTTAAAACACATGGAGTAGGGGTAAAAAATGAAAAATGGTTTTAAAATAAAGCTTAACCGATTCCATAATGATTAAAAAAAAAAAAAAAAACTGAAATAAAATTCGCTTAAAATCTCCCGAGAAAATTGCTGGTTCATCATAAAAATAATCACCCTGCATAATAATAATATTTATCGGTGAATCGGGCGAATCTAAGTATAAAACGAAATCGAACTGCAGTGATCAATATTAGAATATACAACCCCCACAGAGTATCCATAGGTATTCTGGTATGTAAACTGTGTATAATCGCGGTCTAGATAGTGACCGATTGCAGTTTAATATTACACGCCAGGGCTGTGGCGCTACATTATTAAACCTGCATTTTACGTTAATTTACGCTATCGCAGTCTATTAACAGTTGTGAGAAACTTACGAAAATGGATTGTAAATTTAATTGGTGTACGGACGATTTCATTTTCGACCAATTTCAACATTACAGCTACGCGCGATGGGCTGTCGTAAGATATCAGGGGTCTAGTTTCAAAGTGTGGGTACAATCTCCATTTTCATTAAATTCTCAAAAACCAAAAAAAAAGAATAACTTCAATTGAAAAACGTTTTTTTTTTTGTGCACTAGTTTTGGAACAATTATGCAAAGATTATCTACCAGTTTTTCGCTTAAAAGTGCAAGATTTTGTCTTGGTTTTCACAGTATTTTGTTTGGAGGTTGTACAGTATGAAGCTAAAAAATTGAAAATTGCTCGCTTTGAAAATAACTTCAAGACTATTAAATCTCTTTATTCCACTTTTATTGAGGTTAAAGGTTTACAAAAAACGAAAAACGTTAAAAATTGTTGATTAAAATTGTAAAAATTATTGTTGTTTTTGTTAGTTAAAACATTAAAAATAAAAAAAATTTTAAAAAACACTTAAGATTAATAAGTAAGTCAATTTCCAGTATTT